TTACAAAGCGGAAAATGGTAAATTAGCCTAATTAGACTTCCTGGCTTTTCAAGGGAAATTTCAGTTGAAAGTCGAACCTAGCTAACTCCATTACACGTTTCACCGAAACAGACAATTGAAGCTTTTGCGTAACGAAAAATTTTTTAAATAATATGAATTGTCCCAAAAAATCCTTTGGAGCTTCAATTCTCTGTTCCAATTTCCCGACGCGTCTGCAAAAAATGACACAGTAAGGTGTAAAAAAATATAAATGCAACTCTGAGTAAAGCTAAAATAAAAATAAAAATAAAATAAATTAAATAGCGGTCATGCTATTAGTCAAACTATACAATAACGTACGGGCTGGACCTGTAAGCTTAAAGAATTAAAACTTTATAAATGAATCTGAAATTAAATTTAAACGAATAAGGATTCAAAATAAAACAACCAACAGCCGTGGGTCTTGCTAAGACCAAGAAAACAAATTTTAAAAAACACAAAAAAAGAAATATTAGAAAAACAGACCTGTAGCTAATGCTGTCCTTCTCTGATTGAGGAGCAAAATTTGAAAAAGGGGTTGTATTTCGCCTTTGCGCTCTTTCATCGTTCATCCAACTCTGTCGTGTGACGTAGGCGGGTGAAGCAATGTCACTGCGTATCAGCCAATACGATTAGATTGTCCTTTCGCGGGAACTCGTACCCCCCCCCCCGAGTTAAAGAGGGGTTGAAAGACTCGAAAAGACATGGAAAGAATCCAAAATGGCGTCAGTCAAGTTGTTAGAAGAATAAAACTGTTTCAAAAACATGAAAATGGCTAATTCAGCAAAGATTACTCAACATGGCCACAAAAGTAAGAGTAAAATGGAAAAAAGTCATTTGTTAATAAAAGTCGTAATTCTTCAAGCTAGAGGGCGATCAAGCTACAATGAGAAAGAAAAAGGCCCGATTTGTTAATAAAAGTAGAATTGGCCATCACAGTAATTTAAAACTATTAAAACAATAGTACTAAAGTATTGTGCCAAAATCTTTTGGAGGAAAGAAATTGTAGTGACAAGAATTATCTGTACATTTTTACATTAGATTTTCTGAATCAGCCATTCACTTTATACCGTCCCATTGGGCTTTAACTATAAAATTTCATTATCTAACTCAAATTATCCAAAAATTGGTAAGGCTAATGCCAGCTTTTTTTAAGGTATTTTTAATTATTTTATGAGGAATTAGGTTATTTTTCAAAATTGTCACGAAGTAAAGTATTTTTTCTTGAAGGTGTTCTGTTGTATTGCATATTCTTTTTTTTCTAAGTAGATGTGAATAAATTGTGTTTAGGATGATTCTTTTGGAAATATTTGAATTCCAGTTGGTTAACTTTAGCGTAGAAAAATTGAATTCTCTTCTCTTGTCGTAAACTTTTATAAAATTGTAATCAATAATATTTAAGTCAAGGTAGACTACATTATTTTGCACCGTACTTGTATTATTTAGTTTTAAGCAAGTGGGGTAGATATTAGCAACTTCTATTTTGTTGTGGTTGTTAAAGGCTATGATATCATCAATATAATGATATATGTGTTGGAAAAATTTATGTTCTTCTTTACTGAGTGAACGGACAAAGGTCAATTCTTTCGTAAAAAGGAATAATTCACATACAGAACTGGAAAAATTACCTCCCATTGGAATTCCTTGAATTTGTTTAAAGATGCTATTGTTAAATTGAATAAAATTATTGAAAAGCACGCTTGAGAGAAGTTGCCATTTTTTGGTACTTATTATTGTAGAAATTTGCGGAATTATATCCGGTAGAGCAAGTAAGCTTGTATATATTTCTTTAAGTGGTAAAGTAGTATAGAGGTTTTCGAAGTCGTAGCATTGTATATGGTCTATTTAAGGTGAATTTATAGTTTTTAGAACTAGCTCGTTACTTGAAATCATCCAGTTGCAATTTAGATCCTTAAAATCATAGTTATTAATTAAGTCATATATTAAGCGATTTTTTTTTTTTTTTTTTTTTTTTTTTGCAAAAAGATAATCTATTTCTTTAAGATAACTTTTGGTACTATTGGCAATAAACCTGACTTTAATAGGAGACTTATGAAATTTTGGTAGTGCATAGAGATTGGCAAATCTGTTATTATATTTCCGGGGATGTATTTTTAGTCTTTTATGTAGTGCGTTAAATTTACTGAGAAGAGTTTTAGTGCTAGTAGTAATTTTTTGGTAAGTTCAATTGTTATTTAATTCATTATGCAGAAGGTTGAAGTAACCCTTTTAGCTGATCTTTGGAATATGGTAACTGGTAGTTTGGCGACATTTTGAAGGCGATAAAGGTTACTACCTAGGACTTTGGTAATAATGTGAGAAGTACTCAGTTCCGATTACGCATTTATTTTGTGTGAGGGAAATGAGAGATCATGAGATATGTCATGTGACATTAATAGACGAATTACAGTTCTTTAATCGGAAAAGGGGGGAATTTGGAAAACTGTAATACAAAAGTCGTTAATCCAGACTCGTCGGGACTTCGGCGATTCCGGATTATCGATTTTCCCGGATTATAGATCATCAGTTTAAATCTCGTAAGATGGCATGTAAAAATTCTAAAATTAAAAATATGAAACCGTAATTTATGAAATAAAGAACAATTATGATCTAAAGGATATCAAATTTACAAAAAAAAAAAAAAAAAAAAGCTTAATTTTATTTGTTTTACTTTATTAAACATTTCTTTCAATGTAAGTTGTTTAAGTTGCTTCGTTTTATGTGATAATACTTTCTCTTTAATTCTATAAACTGACATAATTTCTTGTTCAGTTACAAAGTTCCGCTGTTCAAGTCCCATTAATTGCTGTGCCGAAAATACCGATTAACTCATCAATCGAAATTTTTTCGTTTTCACTAACCTCTCTGTCCCATTCTTCATGTCTTTATCCATTTTTTGCAGCAATTCCACTTTTTGTTTGATGGACATCGAAACATACTTTCGTTTTGTACGATCCTTTGGGAGCTCCAGAATCGGAAATTCTATTTGACATAATCGAAAGTTCAAATTTACTTTTATAGTATTGCTCTTACAGTCTGCAAAAAATAATAAGCCGGATCCAATTCAAAAATTAAGGAACAACACAATCATCAATATTAACTGAAATAGATAATTAGATAATTTTAGCTTATACCGTCTGTTATACATGAAACGCGCACGCGAAAACGTATTCTGCACTTGCGCACACACATATGCGCAGTCGTAAAAGGTCTTACGCGCACGCGTAAACGCCTATGCGCATGTGTCAACACGGCGCATGCGCAGAAAGTTTAATTTAATGATCGTGATTTTGTGAGTTATATGTTTGTAGTATTTTGGAATACGTTTGAGTAGAATACGTTGAGTATTTTCATGCATTTTCGTGAAATTTTTCTAATTTATGAGATAAAAGCAGTGTACATGGATATAGTGAAGAGTGTGCGCAATGCCATTTTTGTGCAATTCTGGGATGTTTTTTTAAGTAAAAATAAGTCGACGTGTACATGGTTCAGTGATATTTTAATGAAATGATAGTTATTTTTGTGAATTTTATGCTTGTAGGAATTTGGTTTACGTTTAAGTTGAAGTAAACGTGTATGGAAATAATTTAAATATTTGACACTAAGTATTTGTAATGTTTGCGGTATGCATTCGTTCGTGACGTTTATAATATAATAGAAAATTTAGAGGTAAAAGTTTTTGGATATTTTATTTATTTTATACGTGGAAATGTTCATCCTTGGAAAGGGTATATACTTTTTCTTTTCGCGATCAGGTAATTTCATATATGTGCTTTTTTTTAAAGATTCACAGAATTTTTTTGCATTTCGTGCAATTTTTGTAATTTATGAGAAAATAGCAGTGTGGATGGATAAAGTTAAGACTGTGTGCAATGCCATTTTTGTGCAATTCTGGGAGTTTTTTAAGTAAAAAAGTCGATGTGTAAATTGGTTTATGTGTATGTGCTATTCTGAAAAACACGCAAGGAGTTTGCGATTGTGCACTTTTTCCCAATTTTGCAGTTAATATTTGTCATCATCAAGCAGTTTTGTTACATAAAATTTCTAGCATAAGTGTAATTCGGCTAGTAGATTGTTGGAAAAAGTGTTGAGTAAATAAAAAGAAAAGAAATATGTCTTTACTTCGTGAAGACAAAATGGCGGCGAAAAAAAAAGTAGAGGGTTGCTGTAGCAGAGTTGGTCACCAAATTTTCGTCAAAAAATCGCCAAGTTACCATAATCCAAAGATCAACCGTAAATAATATCACTCATTCAAAAAAATAATGTTAATTAATATGAGCAGTTATGATTTTTTCATTCTTTTCAGTTTAATCTATGTTAATAATTTTGCATAGTAAATCATTTAACATAACAATCCTAGTTCAGACACTTCCCTTGAAATACATCTCTTTTTCTAAAATACACACTTCTAATTATGAATCATGAATTTTCATGATGTAATATGATCTCTTAAAATATGCTAATTTTGTATCCTGTTTTTCCAAAATTTCAATATTATACCCGTCTTGAATAATTACTGCTTACAGCACACAAAATAGTGGGTGGAAGGTAAAGATTTAAAAAAAAATAGCAAAGTTATTTATCGCTATCTTAATAGCGTAAATATGTGAAATTTTAAAGGTTAATAATTTTTAAGGTAATAGTTGCAAAAATTCTGAAAAATATTATAAAAAATGTTTCAGGCAAAGATATACATAAAGTTTTTTATATTCGATTTTCATAAGTTTGGAGGTTCATTACAGCTATATAAAATAACATTAGAAATACAGGAAATGGACAAGGCAAAAAAATTCTTTCTTTTTAAATCACATCCTCTACAGTAGGATTTGACTATATTTAAATTTGGCTTGAAATTTTAACGAACAACTATGTCTAAATGATCTTGCAGGGAAAATAAACTATTTTAAAGGAAACTCTTAAATTACAGAAGTTAAAGAACTTCGCATTAAGGCCACTAAATATACTCAACTGACTACACTTACTTCAGCGGAATGAGAGTGTTCCACGTATATAAATTCTTGATCCAGGTTGCTTATACTACCGCTAGAAAGCGAATCCTGACTATTCACATGAACTAATTTAAATATATCGTCATTAAGTGATTCTTCATAACGATTGGTACATAGACTTCGCTCATTGTACATCTTAGTTAAAAACAAAACACACACTAATATTCAACACAATAAAAATTTAAAAGGCCTATATTTTCTAACAGTTATGCAGATGTTATTGGCTGAAATACTATATAAAATTTCAAAATTCATGCTCAGTTTTTTTTAATAAAATACTTCTTTGCTCGCTCGTCTGCTTGCTAAACAACAATGCTAAGTTTCAAATACAGACAGAGAAGACAGACAAGATGTCTTGTTTTGCACCCGCTAAGTCTTTCTGCACCGATGGGCGAAAAAACATAGGTGCGAAGGAAAGGTATATAGAAAGGGGGCAATTTCGAGTTTCAGAGGATAGTAAAAAGGAACTTCGTATTGTGTTATACGAGTTCAAAAGGCCCGAAAGAAAAGTTGGGACAAAATAAATTAAAAAATAAATGGCCCATAGCGATATCGAAAAGAAAGAAAAATATATAAAAAAGAAAAAAAAAAAAGGGCCTCTAGAGGAAAAGGAAGAGAAGAAAACCTAATTAAGCTAATGCGTACATGAGTATGTGTAAAGGATGATGGTAGAACTATGTGATGAGTGGAGGTAAAAAATTACATAAATAATATGATTTTAAGATTCTTGTGTCCACAGTCAGTGAATTTTAATATCAAAAGAAGCACTAAATATTAAACAATAAAATAAAAATCACACAATTTACAGGAGGAAAAAAAAAAAAAAAACAGGTGAGAACATAAGTACATTACGCAGTGCTAGAGCATGTGAAATTTTATTAGTTTAATTTGTACATTATTTTTTTTTCATATATACTGTATCAATAGAACACACGGTTGAACCCATCATGTTGTACGTAGAGGGGGAAAAAATTTAGGTAAATAAATAAATAAATACAACATATGTTGTTCATGGTAAGGAAAGCTTAACTGCATAGAGTAGTTATACCTGGGTGCGCATAGAAATTATATTATCACGTTACTTATTAAGTGATCAGTAGGAGCAAAGAATTACACGTTTGAGAGAAATGAAAAAAAAAAAAAAAATAGGATTCAATAAAAAGGAAAGAAAAATAAGACTAATTTTATTCATAAATATAAAAAGAAAGGTTTTTTGAAAAAAAGTTTTTTTTGGGGGCGGTAAGAAGGAAATTCTTACAATTTTACAGGAGTGTCTCAAACCAATTTCCTTGTTTTGGGTCTTCTAACGTCGCTTGGCGTCCCGATTTCGATGTCCTGATCGGCTCGAAGTCCGAGAACTTGACGATGCCAAAGTACTTTGTCTTTCAACTCACTGGAATCTAAATATCAGTCTAGAATGGTTAATGCATGGATTTTCAGAAATCTTTGAGACAGAGTCTAAATCCAAATGGATGAAAGGAATGGACAGGAGGATTTTTGTTTAGTAGGGAAAGGGGGAGATAGAGTGGGCCCCTTTCGAGGCATTAGAGAGAAGAGAAATATAAATGGTAAATTATTATAATATAGAGGGGAGAGAGACCGGGAAAGCTTGAAATATCCAGAGAGTAAAAGGAAAGCGAAGGAAGGTAAGGTCAGGTAAATTCAGAGAATGTAGCATTCATCCATATATTCGTGCATACTTACCCATGTAAGGTGATTGATGAGGTTTCTAAGAGCAAGGTCAGGTATATGTGAAAAATTGTAGAGATAGGTGCGTCTTAAAAAGGAATATTTTGAGAGCAGGATTTAGAGATGAAGATAATAAGAAGGTAGAATGAAGGAGCAGAAGAACCGGTGATGAAGATGTGCATGACCAATTTCAGAGTAGGAAGGTAGAGCAGGCGATGAGCTGACGTGATGAAGTGAAGATATAATTTAAAATAGGAAGTGAGGCATAAATTTGGAGTACTTACTTGTTTTCAGGAGGTTTGTCGGTGCTGGTTGTAGGGTGTTGGAGGTAGCGAGGAGAAGAGTTTTCTCGGTTGAAGGAACGTTTGTCGAATGGTATTTTTGTCTTTTACAGAAGGAAGTGCTTTGGACTCTCGGTCTTGTAGAAATGCAGAGTAGGGGAGAAGGGGAAGAAAAGTTGAGTATAGTGGACAGATGTTAATGAAGGAGGAAAGCCATCAGGCATGTAGAGCTCCAGAAGATGCTGGTGAAGAAGTAGTGGTTGAGGGAGACAGAGGGCTGGAGGTAGAAGGGACAAAGAGGTGATTTAAAGCATATTTATGAAATTGCAGTCTTTAACGAAGTCTCCTAGGAGTTTGAGAATGGTAGAGGAAGTGGAGTAGAGTGCAGCAAGGATAGAGGGGGATTCAGAAAGTGCAAGAAGATGATTCTGAAGAGTGTTCCTGGGCACGGAGTAGAGAGAGCAATAAAGTAGGAGGTGTTCGAGGGTGTCAGGAACCTTACAGAATAGGCAAAGGGGGGAGTCAATTTTATTAAATTTAAATAGTAATTCGCGGGTGAGGATAGCGCCTGTTCTTAGACGGCGCAGGCAGATGTCAACTTTTTTGGGGGGATGAGAAAGTAGCTTATTGGACAGAGTGATTGAAGAGAGGGGGCGCCAAGGGTTGGCAGAATGATCTTGTAGATAGGAGGTGAAGTCAGTATTGAGAGAGAGGATAAGAGATTTTTTTGTTTGGAGGGCGGAAGGTGGAAGAGAAATAGGAGTACCTGTGGGAAGTTTAGCAAGTCGATCCGCCTCTTCATTGCCAGCAAGGCCAATGTGGGAGGGGATCCATTGAAATTTAACTGATTTATTTAAGGAGATGCAAGTCTGATAAAGGGAGTAAATTTCTGATAGAAGCGTATGAAGGGAAGTAGAAGAAGGGAGCTTTTGAAGGGCCAGTAGGCCAGATTTGCTATCAGTGAGAATAAAGCTATGGGGATGATTAGAAGAAGAGAACCAGGAGAGTGCCTCACGTATGGCAAGGAGTTCCAGCTCCATAATGGTACATTTGTCTTGAAGGGTGAAGTTTTGTTGAATGCCCAATTTTGGGATAACATATGCTGCACCATTGTGGGTTGGTGTAAGGGAGCCATCGGTAAAATGAAAATAGAATTAGGAGGAAAGATTAGCTAGAGTGTCCAGGCAAAGGGACTGAATAGCTGATGAAGGAAGGGAGGATTTTGAGGGAAAGGAAGGAATGTAGCTTCGAGTGGGTGCTGGAAAGAAATCCCAGGGGGCTGGGGAATTGATAGGAGAAGCAGGGGGGTTGTAAGAAAAGGAAGATTTGGAGTTTTAATTTTGAGGAATTCCATTATGTTGCCTGAACGCGTAGGTGAAAGTAACAGAGGAGCTAAGAGATGATTGTTGGCTGAGATGCCCACTCTGTGAAGGAGATTAAGGAGTTGGTGTTGGGCTTCAAGGAATAGGGGGTTTTGTTGGGATTCGATGTACACCTCAGCGAAGGGGGTGAAGTCCGAGAGCTCTCTTTATGGCCATTTTGTGAGCAATCTCCAGGGGTTTGAGCTTATTTGTGGATAGATTACATAACACGGGGAGGCTGTAAATGGAGATAGAGCGGACAGTAGAGATATAAAGGAGGAGCTGCGAGTGTGGGTTAGGGCCGATAGAAGTGCCAGTGCAGGATTTGAGAATATTAGATGTAGACTTAGTTTTAGAGGTTAGTTGTTTGATGTGTGGTATAAAGGATAGTGAGTTGTCAAGAGTGACTCCCAGAAATTTGTGAGAAGAGGTGAGAGGAATGGGAAGGTCATAGATCAAGAGGGTGGGGGCAGGGACGTCGTTTTTTGGAGAAGAATAGATGGCGGCATTTCTCTGGGGCTAGGGAGAAACCCCATTCTGTGCAATAGTCACAGACTTGGTCAATTGCGTATTGTAAGTTAATATCTTTGTTCCAAAATGGACCAAATCGCAATATCATCGGCAAATATGGCGATGCGGATGTTGCTGTTGATGAGGGAGGGGAGGTCATTGAGCATGAGGTTGAAGAGAAGAGGAGAGAGTACGCCTCCTTGTGGGGTGCCGTGATCCATGGAGAAGGGGCTGGAAAGATGGGAGCCGAGTTTAATACTGGAGTCACGGGGAGAAAGAAAGAATTTGATATATTCGTTGATAATTGTACCAAATCCAAGTTTAAGAAATTTGCAGAGGAGTGCTTTTGGATTTACAGAGTCGAATGCACTTTTGAAGTCGAAGAAGATGTAGCCTTGGCTACTAATGTTTAAAATTAATTTATGACTAGTAACAGCATGAATTATAAACAAATAGCTAAGTTATTGCATTTTATTTTCCAGCTATCGAAATGCGACGCTACGAGCAACGTTTTGAAACCAAAACCTAGCAATCATGAATCAGAACTAGAACTAGTTGCCATTCAGCATAAAGAAATTTAAATATAATATGAACTACTTATTGCAATTCAGCATAAAAGAAATATAAATATGAATATTAACAAAATATTAAAGTTAATTTTATAAAATAATTAAACACATGAACAAATATATGAAATAAAAAATAATTATTTCTCATGCAATAACTGGGCCACTACACTACTCCCCCACCAGTAACTAAGTTACGTTACGAAGATGGAGAAAAAAGGTAGTAACTAGTATTGCAGTGTTAACCACTATCAAAATAATTTAGTCAGTCCTTGAATCTAACAGGTAAACGTATAGTTCTGCCTGTGCGAGAAGGTTTTTGATTCACATCCGAATTTGAGTCCGGTCTCTGCAAATTACTGTAGTCAGGTTGTATCAACTGAGAATTTTCCTCAGCTAAAATATATGCTGGTTTCAGGCGATCCAGGGATACATTAACATGTTTTCCTTTTGTGCTAATAGTAAAATATTTGTCCTTGCGATCAATAACAGGAAATGGTCCTTCATAAGGAGGTTCCAAAGGTTTTTTTTACCCGATCTATTCGCTGAAACACATGAGAACAAGTTTTTAAGTCTTTATGGACAAATATCTGTTCAGATGAATTTTTACGAATTAGTCTCGGTCCAACAACTTCCATCTGTTTCTGGAGTTTATTAGCAAAAGTCTCCGATGCTGTCTGGATACTTGGTTCGCTGAAAAACTCGCCAGGAAGTCTGAGACTCTGGCCATAAACTACTTGCGCAATAGAATGATTGGTATCTTCTTGAATAGTGCAGTACGTTTACAAACCCAAAAGTACTGTTGGTAACGTGTCCGTCCAAGATATGTTGTTGTGGGCTTTTAATGCTGTTTTTAATGTTCGATGAAGGCGCTCAACTTTGCCATTACACGAGGGGTGGTAGGCAGTAGTGTGTTTGTAAATTGATGCCACAGATTTTGGACAAA